TTCTAGCTCAGTGAAAACACCTGAGTGCCATACTAGAAAGCTTTAAAGTGTCCTAGTGGTTCTAGAAACCAACGGCTGTAGCAGCACCAAAAAGCTCTGTCTCTGTAAAAAAAAGACCTGAATCAAAGTTGGTTTGGTTCTATATGCTTAGATGAATTGTCCCTGTAATTTACAGTGGGAAAGGAATTAATGTACTGTACCAACACTGTTTCGTATTGCAGAGCCCATGAGAGAGAGCAGAAATGTCTCAGGTTACATTGCTTGAGGAGATCACCCAGTGGAGTGTGGAGATCTGTCAGCAGGAGCTCAGATCTGTCTTGCCTAAGCTTCTCATATCCTTTTACTTCATCAGTCTAACCTACACTATCAATGGGAACATTTGGTTAGAAAAAAGTAATAAACAAGAGGAGGCTGTCCACCTGTCCTTTTTCTTTGGTCGTCAGCAATCGTTTGTTTTGAGGGTCTCATTCACCTGTTCGAGGAATTCAGTTTCAATTATATTGCTCGTTCCACCCTCTCGCAACTATTTGTTAATAAATTAATTAAATTAAGTTTCTCTTGTCCTAAATCCTTGGTTTCCACTTTAAAGCCTTAAAAAAATATATTGTAATAGGATTCGGCCTGGCATGTCCTACTGTTTATATTTTTAAGTTTTTTTAGTTTTACTCAGTGTAATAAACACACTTGATTCAGTTTGAATCTCAATTGTGTATTGCAGCCGTATAGTCTTTATAGGAACTCTCTTCCTGGATGCTGTTCAGCTGAGCTTGTGCATTTATCACTGTAGCATTAGAGTTACACTGGCATTCCTTATGTGTTATGACTTATATTCAAAAGCAATATTAATAATGCATTCAGAAAATCACAATTTCTTTAATCCATGTATACTCCATATATCATCACACTGCCGACTGGGATGAATATATCAGTGAGTATTACACAAAAGGATGATTAGCCTTGACATTTTTCTGTTAGGATGAAAAGGGAACAGATTGAACATAAAAAGGCAATTTTTATTTTCTGTGTTTAGGCTTCTGAAGAATTGTCTGTGTTTTCAATTCAAATGTATTATGTATCTGGGGTTGAATGTAAGCTTTGTGTTTCCATCAACTACTGTGTATGGTTTAAAACTCTTTTTAAGATCAAATTCTTCAAATAGTTTTTTTTCTTCAAAAGAAGTACTATGCAGTCTCATTTATTTTAGAGAAATGAGGAAAAGATTACTGATAACAAACTTCGGGGATTTTCTTGTTGTTTTTCAGGAGTCTTGAAAATTCTCACCCAAATGTTTTTACCTCATCTGAGCCTTACAGAACTGGAGGGAGAGTTTTTCTCAAAGGTTCTACCCAAGGTGCATATTTTTTTTCTGGGTGCTAATATCATGTCTTCTGCAGTTTTTCTTGAGGTTTACACTGCTTTGTATTTCTGAGTGGTGTACAAAATTGAAAGTCACAATTATATAAACTTTTTTAAAAAAATCCTAAGAGGGTGTTTGCAATTAAGCAATTTACACATCTGCCATTTTCCCAGGTTGTGAAGATGTTTAATGACTTGACGGAGGAGATTTCTAACCAAGTAGGAGAGCTGTCCAGTCAAAATATTGAGCTGCGCGTGTTGCTGAGAAATATTTTGCAGGTATTGCATGGTTTTCAAAGATTATAAGATTTCACAACTACAACAAAATGCGATTGCTTCAATAAAACAAGCAAAATGTCGGAATTTATTATCTTGAAGTTTAATGTCAGTAACTCTACTGAGGCCTTAACCTGTTGTTTTAAAATCCACAGATCATGGTACAGGTATTGGAAGCCTTATCTGGGTGTGTGCGTCACATCTGTTCCTTTGAGGAGAATCTTGCTTCCTTCGACAGTATTCGCTCATTACCTTCCTGCATTCTGAAAATCTTAAAGAACACTTTCCAGCACTGTAAGGTGAGGAATTCTCTGGTTCTCCTTGATATGCAGCCTAATGCAAGAAGATATCAAACAAAGCAATTGTTTTGAGAAACAAAAATTACTTGGGGTAGCTTTAAGATCAAAATGTCAGAACAGTCAAGTCACTGCTGCCGAAGATATGAAAAATAACGTAATCGTTTGTTGTTTTCAGGAGAGTGAGACTGCATACCAGGGGCGCTTGTCACTGGTGGCTGACCTACTACAGGCCCTCTTTAAGGAGGCCTACTCCCTTCAGAAGGGATTCATGGAGCTGCTGGATAGAATTTCCCTAGGGAACTCGGCCACTGAGGAGGAGGTCTCAGACATGGTGACAGGTGACTTCAACATACTCAGTTGCTCCTTATCAGCAAGCTTTTCTGCAGACAGAAACTTGCATCATCTTGGATGACCGATGTTGTTGCTCCAAATCTCACTTCCCAAATTAACTGTTTCTTTATTCTGTTCCTTAGTCATGCCTATTTTTAATTATTCATCTTTGCTTTTCCATTTTTATTTTTGCCTGCAGTTGTGCCAAAAAGAAGTCATGTAACCATCTTTCTTATGGTGATATCTCCCGATACTTCCTTTTTGAACGAGAGGTCCTCCTAGTTAAAATTCCCAGCCGTCTCCAAATAGTCTGACCTCAATGCTGCATTTACCTGCATGTGCTCTTCCCTCATGAGAAACGAAATTCAGGAACATGATGATTTTAGATGCTACTGAATTTGAAAGGAACATTTTTACTTCTTTACCCACAGTAAATATATCTTTGTCTGTTTAGTGATTCACAGTCTCTTGGATATATGCTCAGTAATTTCTAACTTGGACCTTGCAATGCATGCTAACACCTGGAAGTTTATTGTCAAGTAAGTTTTCAACTTCATTACCTTTTCTCTTTCGCTAAAAAAGGCAACTTAAAATATAGTGTCATTTTTTATTAGAACACTAGGTATCCTCATCTCTTTGAATTGTACCACTTTTGAGGCATCAGAAAGTGACTGTGTCACCCTTGTTTCAGACAAAGTGTCAAGTATCAGGTGCTGTTGGAAGACCAGCTGAGACACAGTGACATTGTGTCCAGTTTGTGTGACGATGTTCTTGCCTCTTTTCACTCCTGCATGGAGCTTGCTGAGCAAATGAAGCAGTCAGGAGTGCAGGTAATAGGAAGTTCTTGTGCCTCTTATTAGCAGCTTTGTAGTATGTTTCAGTAAACCTCATTTTTATTCTTTTTTTAACTTTGTCAAGGATGGAAAGCTCCTTTGTTACTTCTAATGAACCGCTAAGGATATTTTATGAATGGCCACCTTCAGTATAGTATCATTATAGTTCCTTGTAATTGACTCTACTAATTAATTTACCTTTATTACTATTTTCTAGGAATCTTCACAAAGTGCAGAGTGCAAGTTCTTCCAGAAAACAGCGAAAATTTGTCGTTTTTTTGCCAACACATTAGTGCATTATATAAAGGTATTAACTAATGAAGACTTTATAAGTTTTGCGATTTTTTTAGATGTTTAAGTGTTGCGATAAATGTGTACCATACATTACTGGTTTCTTTTTACTTTCTCTCCTATAGGAATTCCAGCCTTTTTTGTCGAAATCTTGTGGTCAGTTCCACCGCCTTTATCTTCAGATATACAGGTAATTGTTGTAGACAAAGGAATGTATTTGTATCATTAATTTAAGGATGAATTTTGCATGTGGCGTAGTCTACACAGGGGGGTAAATGTCCTCCTGCACCTCACTTAAAAAAAAAGTACTTTTCTTTTATCTTATCAGAATGTTGTAATATTAATAGTAGGACTGTTCTATCATTTCAAATTAAAGAAACATTCAACCTTAATCACCCTGACTCCCATTCTGAGGACATTTTGCATATTTGATCATTGCTGCCAGGCTATTTACAGTATTTTCTGATTTTGCAGCAAGTTTCCTCCCAGCCTGTCATCTCCAGTGATATCTGAAAGGCACTGCAATGAGATCAGCAATGTCCTGGTGCCAATGGACCCTTTTATCACACAGCTGCTTCCCTTCAGACCTTTTGCTGAAGCTGTTCTGGCAGAAGAGCAGCGTGAGTTGGTTTCCTGTGTTGATTAAAGAAAGATCCATTAGTATTAACACTCAAGAAACACTTAATGAAAAGGTCACGAATTGTGAAAAAAAAAAAACATATTGCAGATAGTCCAGTACTGTGTGGAAATACACAAGTGAAGACATTCATTATACTTTTTTTTTTCATTCACAACAGTTTCAAGTAGTGTCAGGTTTTCAGAAAGGAGATTTCCGAAAATAAGTTTTGGAATAAAACTCTCGAGGGTTATTTAGATTATAGTTTATTTATTTAGATGAGATTATAGTCTAACCCATTATTCTGCAGACATTTTCAGTGAAGTTTCAGCAACTCACTGAAACTACTGAACTACTCTTGTGGAAGGGAACAGATAAAGGTTTATTCCATGCTGAAAAGCGAAGAAAGGAAACACGGCGTTTCAGCTGTGAAGCCTTCTTCTTCTCTTTTCAGCATGGAATAAACCTTTACTTGTTCGTTTGCAGCCTACGCATGCTGACGCAGCTACCCACCTGAACTACTGTGATTCTAAAAATATTTAAAGTGATGATTTTATTCTGAAATCTTGACAACCTTCATTAATTGCATGAGTGAGCAACACATCGCTGCTTGTTTCTGTGTTTTTTTTCCAGAATCCTGTCCAGAGCTGTGTCTCCCACAGTGCCTCTTACTTGTGAACATTTTAGGGAAACTGCCATCTCTGCCAGAGGATGTGCTTGATCTCTGGTGCCAAGGAAGCCAGTTTCCAGAGGAAACGCCTAGGTACATATGCATTGAAAAGCCTTGGAATAAACTGCTCTCTACTGACATCTGATTGCTAAAAATACGAGCAAGGTTTAGTCACGCTAGTGTTGTGTGTACCTGTGTCTTCGCCAGGCTGTCTGTATTCCAGGCCTTGTTCCTCAGTTTCCAGCGGTGTTCCTTGGAACGAGCCATACCTATTCTCTTGCCTGGGGTTATGATGAATGGGCAGGCACAGAGCAAAGTCACTCTGTACCAACATGTCTGCATCCAGCTTTCTGCCTGCATCGCTTCTCTTCCACCTGCACATTTCTCACAGCTGGTAAACACGCCTGTTCCATCACTTTGGCCCCCCGAAAAAGATAAAGGTCTCACATTTCTATTGAGATATTGTGTTTCTGCTCAACTACATTGATGGGGGATTCTAAAAAACAAAGTCAGAATTAAATCTGCACTACTGAATGTGGTGATGCTGTAGTCTCTCGTTTTAATATAATTATCACAGGTTTTTTTTTCCGCATAGCACTTTAATATGAAGATAAAAACAAATACACAGCTTTTTCCTTATTCAGAACAGGAAAATCATGTTTTTGTACAGTTCAAAACTGTATAGGAGTGTAAAATAATAATACCTTTTATACCTGTACTTCCTATAACCAATATGTTTTATTTACTTTAAGGTTGTACAGAGCACTTTTTGGGAGGTTACTAAACAACCATGTTTTGCCAGTTCTATAGAGATGCCAGATTAAAGGCACTATGGAGTGTTTTATTATAAATTTCACCCTGAATAATGTGTTATTTAATGACTTCAGCTTTCATCTAATAAAATCTACAGTATTGGTTACAGCTAATACTTGGACCACCAAATCAATTTATTCCTTTACGATCCATATTTTAACAAATAATGATAATGAGGTTAGAATAGATGGGGTTGTTGTGAGTTTTGTCTGTCTCCCAACGCAGGAGCACTCTCTGTTAGGGGCTCTACTCAGTTCGGATGTCCAGACAGCTTTGCTTGCCACAGATGTCTGGTGCTTTCTGGCGCGGTAAGCTCTGTGGTTTTATCACTTATAGCAATAACATTTTTATAATAAAAGAGGTTATATGTCCTGCTGAAAATTGTCAAAAGAAAGGCCAGCTGAAAAAACAATCATTGTTTGAAACTGAATTAGCACATGTAACTAAGGAAACTGATAAAGTACTACATGTACAAGAGCATTATAGAGGTGTAGGAACTACCAAGAAGCTTTACAATTAAGAAGCAAAATACATTCATGTTCTATTCGGAATGAGGCATTTTGTATAAGAACCCAATCAAACTGATTGTCGAGTCTTTTCACAAAGGAACTCGACCGCTTACAGCTGCCTGTTAGCACATGGGACTAGGAAACATCAAAGCTACATTATTACAGAGTGACAGAAATGCTCACTCATTAAATGTAGAGTTTGATTCTGTGATTTTTTTTTTAACATGCTACCAAAAAAAAGAATGTATTTGTTCGCTGTTTGGACTATAAAAGAAACTTTTTCTTTACAGCTTTGGGACAGCAGAACTCTGTCAGCATCATGGGATGATCATAGCTCATCTGGTAAGCTCAAGTCAGTTACAGTGCATTTGTGTGCATTTGTAAGTTTGTTCCCAACACTAAGGGCATACAAGTCCATTGGCACACAGAAGAGCTTTTGTGGAAAGGGAAGGTTTGAATTTCACTCTTAGCACATTAGCTTGGACCTAATACAAGTAATGTGTTTCTTTTGTTAATTTCTATAGTTCAGAGCTATTTTCAGGTCCTGTCTGTGATCATGCTGTTGTTGAAAGCCGGTCTTTGGGACTTTTTGAAATACTTTTTGCCATACCTCTGGTGGTTAAGGCCAGGGATACATTGATCCAGAATTCCTGCCAGAGTTCTTCTCTGTAACCCTACAGTAGATGTAGTGACTCAGCTGTGCCCTCCGAGAGAACAAATGATCCCCCATGCCAAATTAGTGTCTTGCCTCTCAGAGACTCCCTGCAAAGGTGACAATTAACGTCAGTTAATCTGGGATTGGACACCTGTCCATTAAATAGCTTGGCACAGGCGTCAGGCAATATGTCATTGCCATTTTGTTTTAATCAATCTACTTTTTTTTCTGTCATTGCATCTTGCTGAACATGTGCTTGGGTGGCACAGCTTACCTAAACGTTTTGAAAAGTTAAACCAGCAAATGTCATAGATGATATTTTGTTTCTTATGTTTCAGTGTGAGATAAAAGACTTACTGCTGGCTAGCCTGCATGCAGTTGAAAATCAAGCCCTGTTTGAATTAGGGTGTGGGAGGCACAAATTTGTCAACTTCATACCTCTTCTTTTTCCTTTATATATTTTAACATTGTTTAATTAAAAAATGATATTTTTTTAACAGTACGTGTACAAAGTATAATCTTGTCAACATCACCATAATTGTTTTGTGAATACAATTCTCAGCACAGTGCCATACTAAAGTACAGTAACACAGTTTCCTTCCTCATGGCAGATCAAGTCTTGTCCAGGGGACTGTTACCAGCTTTCACACCTGGCCTTGTTGCTGAGACGAATGATATTCCTCATGACGCCGAACCATCAGGTGAGAATCGAAGAGGGAAATGAACGAGATGCAAATATCCGAGAGATAAAATGTGGCAGAGTTAACATATCCTGTATGTGGATTTCTGTCACAAACCTTCAGGTTCAGTTCATCTCCAAGTTCTCCCCCAAGGAGGCTGAGAATTTGACCCTTTGGCAGCATGTTCTACTGAAAGCCTTGTCGCTGGATGTAAGAAAGCAGGTTGAAGAGGATATCATGAAGTCCGCTACAGCTGTGTGCGCCAGCTGGATGGAGGAGGGCTGCAAGCTGGGCCAGCTGGAGAAAGTGGTGAGGAACTTGGTGGATGAGGCTTATACAGAGATTTAGTCAGACATTTTATTATACTGTCATTACAGTAGAGAGCCCCATAACCTCCTTAATTGGGACTGACCCCTGTGTAGTTAGGGGAATGTTTTAAAATTAAGAAATTCCACAGTCTAGCTGAATAGATAAAACTTTTTTGAGGCTGTGTGTAGCTGTTTGGGTGCTCTACATTACTATATTTCACTTTCTTTGGGGAATCAGAATTAATAAATCAGTTTACCCTCACATACGTGCATGATAGTTTCTCGTGTTTATTCTTAATGTAAAGTTTTCTGTATTGTAATTTGGCTTGGACAAGTGTGTTTGCCTAGTGGATATCTCAGCTTTTTTGCAAAACACAAAACACTTTACACTTCTCTTTTATCTGCAATAGTAATGTTGATATGCATAGACATAGACCTAACTACAGACCATGTATGTTTGAAAAGCAGTAGAACAAGTCATGTTTTTTTTTTTTTCCAGAATACGGCACTTTCTGCTATGCTGTCAGTTCGTCAAGGGTCAGGTCAGGTGTTGGAATCCGAGGCTGAGCAGAGTGTCTCCAGACTGGTCACACAGCTTTGGCCACGCATATCAGTCAAACAGGTACATGATGATGCTCTTCCAGTGTCTTCTCAGGCCTTGATATCTTTTCAATTTCAATTGTTTCAATTCTGAAAATGCTTCCAAGCTTGAATGCCAAGCTATGATATTTTAAGTGGGTAGCTGCGTCAGCATGCGTAGGCTGCAAAGGAACAAGTAATAGGTTTATTCCATGCTGAAAAAAAGAAGAAAGAGAACACAACGTTTTGGCCGTGGAGCCTTCGCCACACTCTTTCTCTTTCTTCTTTTTTCAGCATGGAATAAACCTATTACTTGTTCCTATGATATTTTAAGATACAAGATAAATCGAATAAAGCTTAGATCATTTTTTCCCCCTTAATTTATTGTTTTAAAAACCAGTTTGCCTAATTTCAGATCATCGCAGGTCAATAACACTTTTTATAATGAGCCCATGCTTTGCTTTTTATTATTTCTTTCTGCACAGGTACTAACACAGCCTGCTCTTCAGTGTACTCTGCGCCCGCTCCTCTGTTTGTCTGCTACCGCAGTGCAGTGTATAGATCACCAAGTTATATGCCAGGTAAAAGTCCATTTCATTATTTTATCAGTTTAAAAATCTAAAAACCAGTACGGTCAAAATATAGCTGGGAAACTAAACATTAATGTGATCAAAGTCATAGCCTGAGCTGAGATAGTTGGAAAATAAATCATAGAAACATTTTGAGATGGGACTCACAAGGATCCAGAGCTATTCTGATTAGGAAATACCTTGGTGTAGGGCGAGTTAGAGGGAGAGAAGAAAGTTAAGATAAGAAAATCTGAGTAACTGATGAATAATAGTCTGAGTCACACTGTTGATTAAGAGTATGGTGTGTTCATAAAGCATCTTATTTGTTCTAGCTCAAAGGCTGCCAAAATAAAATTGTGATGTATTTGAGTTTTTGGTTTCTGTCCGTGTTGATTCCCCTTAACTAAACTGCATAGCATTTGCCTGACTTCTTTTTTTTTTTATCCCATTCCCATCCTGACATAAAATTATCTTACCCGACTCCTTTTAGGCACTAACTTGTTTAACGTCACTCCTGCCTCTCAAATGCCCTGATGACATTGTTTTGGCGGCACTGGATCTTTTGGCATCCTTGGGGAGATTATTTATACCTCCAGAAATTCAGGTGTGTGTGAAATGGTTATTTTTTCAATTTCTCTCAATCAGTAAATGGAGGTTACAAATGAACCTGTTTTTTGGACTTTGTCCTTGTGGTGAAATTTAAAACAACAGTAGAAGGAATAGGGCAGCAAAGTGGGTACAGCACCAGGGCCCTGGGTTCAATTCCAGACCTGGGGTACTGTGTTTCTATGTTTTCCTGTGTTCACCTGGGTTTCATCCAGGTGCTGCTATTTCTGCCCACAGTCCAAAGGCATGCTGGTAGGTTAATTGGCTTCTGGGAAAATTGGCCCTGGTGTGAACTTGTGCCTGTCTTTGTGTCTGTCTGCCCTGCTGTGGACCGCTATCCCATCAGGGGTGTACCCTGCCTTGTGGCTGATGCTGGTCAGGTGAATAACATGAAGTTGTTAGAAAATGGATGGATGGAATGAAGGGAATAATACAGGGTTTAAAATATTTTAGCATCAAACAGAGGGTTAAAAGCTTTTTGAATTCTTTTTATACTGATTTATTGTACAAACACATTCAGCTGTAAAGCATGTGTTTTAAGCAATAGTAGAACAGGAGATGATTTTACTTTTAGTGAGGGAAATAAAACCTTTGCCTTTATCCTGCAGAGCCAGGTCCTGCCCAAACTCTCCAGTCTCTTCTCATCCCTGCTGGCTGAGGGATCCTGGCTTCTCCACCAGTGCACACTGGAGGCGTTTGCTCAGTTTGCAGAGGTAATATGTTTCAGTACAGAAAGATTTGATTTCAGTTAAATAATGTGTTTTTTTTCAGTCTCTATCTCTTCCATAGCCATTTAATACTCTGTTTATTTTTTATTTAAATGTTATATTATTTTGCTGACTCTTTTAAAACGCAGATTGAAATGTGTTTGTTGTTTATGAAGTGTGAGATAAGGAAATTAGTCATCAACTTTGCAGAACACTTGCAAACGTCTTTTTTTCTTTTAGGTTACCAATCATGAACACGTAATCCCTGAAAGTTTGGCATCGGAAGAAACAAAAAATAAAGTCGTAAAGTTCCTCAGCAAGGTAAAAATGCCTTTTAGCACAGAGTGATTCATTAATTGTGGAAATTCCAATTGAGATGTAAGTTAAATATATGTAAATGTCTGCCACTCTTTACCAAAGGCTGTTCATCTGGAGGAAAATAAGGAGGAACGGCTTGAGAGACTGAAATCGGAAAGATGTGTTATTGAGAGGCATAGACACAGACTTGAAACGGGGGCAGTGGAAGTAACTGGTGATGCAGAGGTGAGTAGGAGTCAGCTAAATTGTTTTATATTGGTCAGAAGGGATGCGAATGATTCCGTTGAGTGCTAGTTATTATGCAGAGATCAGAAACAAAGAAAAGATACAAAGTTTCAAAAGTATTGTGTATGCCTGTTTTACTGTATTGATGTATTTAAAATACCACGGTGTTTCAGCAGACAGGAAGAGTTTGATCATAGAAAGGGTATTCAATTTTCTGCAGTTTAAATAAGCTAGCTTCTTTAAATGCATCCATCCATTTACAAACCATCCAATTCAGGGTTGCAAGGAAACCACAGCCTATCCCAGTAAGCACTGGGCAGAAGGCAGGACGTGCCCTGGATGGGTCACCATTCTTCTGTAGGGCAACACACAGACGCTGACATTCACACACTCGCACCAGGGCCAATTTTTCTAGAAGCCAGTTAACTTACCAGTATATCTTTGGACTGTAGAAGGAAATCAGGGAACCCAAGGGAAATCATGCGAACACAATGAGAACAAACCACGCAGATAGCACTGGGGTACAAGGTTAAATGCCTGAGGTGCTAAGTGGCAGCAGTGTATACTGCAGCAGCCTAGTGTACTTCTTTCAATGTGAACAGAAATTCTTACTATGCAAAGGCAGAATGTTTCAGTTTCTGAGAGAGTTGTTTTTATTATATTCCTCTGTTGTGTTTCTTCTTAGCCCTGTCCCAAGCGACCTCGACAGGAGACCTGTGAAGAGGAGCAGTACGAAATGGTTCTCCAGACCGCAGAAAATGCGCTGAAAACTCTTCAGTCCCTAACAGAACAAACCCCACCACCACAATGGGTAGCAGCCAGGCTACAGAGCCTGCAGACGCAGATAACACACATCAACCAGGTCAAGCTGAAAGGAACATAGTGCAACTGGAATGAAAGCACATCTGTACATTTTGTTTTTAAGTCAATCTCAATTGTGTTCATTTTCAGGAAAAATACTGTTTTGTGATATATGTATCAAACCTGCTTATCTTGTATTTACTTTTAACAGTTTTGCATAGGAAAAGACAATGTAAATGCAAGTCTATAAAACCATTTTCATTGTTTATTAAAATTTTCTATTCAAGAACTGTATGATTTTTTTTCCCCCTAAGCATAATGTTTTCTTAACCCTGTTGTCTGGTTAAAGATTAGTTTTCTGTTCATTACTGTCTTCGCTTTAAAAAAAGAACTGGCCTTCAGCAGCAGAAGTTAAAAGTTGTTATACTGTACAGTAAATTCAGTTTTACAAGGAAGACATCAAAATTAAGTTTCAAATTTAACTGCCAGAATAGTTTATTCTGTAATGTTTTACTTGAACTATAAGCAACAGTCTGTACATTCTTAAATGCTACACATCATAAACTGTTAGAAGTATGTAGTGTTTTTTTTCTCCAGAAACTTGTACTGTTAAAGTGATATAACATTTATTAACCTCAATTTTAGCATGTTTTGCAAAACAGATAATGGAATGATGTAAGGGGTGCATTTTTTCAAGAATAATAGTCACATTCTGTAGAGTCATTTATTCCATCAGCAGCTGTGTAAACACAAATAAATTATGTAAATTTCCTACACATTAAAATATAGCATTCTTTTTTCACTTTTTAGAAAATAGTGAAACTCTCATAAGGCCCTTTTCCCATGATTATGCAAAACTGATTACTCTTTATATGGCACAAACAACCATTAGAAAATATTAATTCTCCTGTTCATCATACTAGATTTCAAGTTTGGTTTTATCACCATTTCCAGGTTTTAAGTAATTCTCTGCATTAAGGTAGATCCCATTAAAACTAGACAAAGTTGATTTATTGTACTAAAACATTATGCAGATTGTGCCACCTTATCCACATAAAACAATTACTGGCTGACTAGTGTAAGAACGATGTGGCTCGGTAAGTTTTCCACAGCTTTTATGTCCAAAGTTGAACTATACAACTATATTTAAAAAAGTACTGGTTCTTAAATTTTGATTAATGTTCTTAATTGGATTTAATTCTAAAGGAAAACGGGACTTAAATTAAAAGGTTCCTCTTGGCCTCGTCAGTGTTCTTCCAACTGATTGGCAATGGGGACAATGTCTGTGCAACTGCAGCTGATCCTCCACAAGGTGTCACCAGTTACTCTCATCTTCCCAGTTCAGGTCATCACTATCGCCCCAGCCCGAAGCTTCCGTCTGAAAAATTTAAACAAACCGAGTCACAGCATGATCTCACCTTCTGAAGAATACTCTATAAATTGCGTCATCAATTTGTTCAACATATGTTTCAGAAATATGGACTATATGGACTATAGTATCTTTAACTTTTTAGTAAAGATGTGGCATTAATCTTTAACTTTAAGATGTATGGTCAGAAGAGTTTAGCAGGCCCAAGGGCTCTTCTGTTACATTTTAACTCAAGCTTAACAGACTTACATAAAATCAGCGGGTCAAAGCAGTTCTGCAAATTTTGCTTTAGACATTTTTCATTAGTACTATTCAATTTTACTACAACAATATTCTCAATTGGTTATTGATCAGAGACAGAATTACCTTCCAGACATGCACATACAGTAAATTACCTAAAATGCCAAAACAAGGATAGAATTCTGTTTTTTTAAGGAGATGCTAAGGATTGCAAGGCTTAACTTAAATTCCTCTTAAAGTGTCAGAAACATGGCAGCAATATCCATGAATTTAATGTAAGACAAAGTCACAACTTTCAGCTGTGCAAGTTCAGCTTATCACTCTTGAAACCTATATTTATCACAGTTTAAACTTCCAATATGGAAAAGCCCAGTAACTCCTATACAAGACTTCACAGCAAAAACCTGTCAATTTGAATATCTATTTCAAAATAACAGTTAAATCCGTTAAAAAGTAGAACTGTTAAAAGCAAATTCTTAGGAACTCACGATTACAAAAAAAGAAAGACGGGTGAGAATAAACGAATGGCATTCTTTAAATCAAATCGTCTCAGGTAAAACTTACATCAGCCAGGTCAGCTGCAGCAAACTTGGCAATAATTGTGAGTCTGTCTGTTGATGATTCCTGATCCAGGAGCTCCGTATGCCCTGAAGGAACAGCCAGTGAAGATCCAAAAACGGCATCTGTCCTTTCAGAAGTGAACATCAACGTGGCTGAAGACAACTTGATCTCGGGGGTCATGTCCGCAAAGAAGTCCATTTCAGGATCTTTCTCGGGTTTCTTTCTGATTTCTATTGTGAACTCCTCGCCTAAGCCGCCACTGATAACTTTTTGCATCTGGCTTGGTTTGGCAGAGAGGTGTACTACGTCATTGTCCCAGTCAGTCTGTCTTTTCTCATCTTTAGGTTTAGAAGCTGAGCTAAGCTTTAAAGCGTTGGATTTCTTTGTAGGTCCAGGGAATGGGTTCTTTGGAGGATCACCCAGAGGTGAAGCAGTAGAGTCGCCTGCTGATCCATGGGATGCCTGGTGTGAAGTCATTTCAGATCCATGATTGCATGTTTCCAAATCCTCCCAGGGCTCCTCTTCCATGTTGATGTCCCTTGTGATGTTCACTGTCTTCTGGGTGTCCACTGGCTGAACACAAAGCTCCACAGTTTTGTTCTTCTCCATCTCCTCGGCATCACTCCAGTCTGGCCATTCTTCACCATCTCTGGCAATGCTCCCCAGGCCATGAAGATTCTCCTCTCCAGCAGAGATGGGTGGTCTTCTGTCATTGAATCCATTCAAGGGCAATTTCTTCAAATCTCTATTAACTGTTGGAGATGAACAAAAAATCCATATTCAAGTGTGAAAAACACACACATTTCAATGTAATCACAATAGTTGATTTATTTGCATTTGATTTTGGTCGTTTAAGTGTTTTTGCGCTTAAAAGATATTAAGAACAAAATATTCCACTTTGGAAAAGTATTCAGAAATACTGTACTTGTTATCAAGAGCGCATTTTTATCCGTTTATATTCCTTTCAGAAATACTGTGAACAGTTCTCCCTCACACCTGTAGGCTGGTACTCACCTGTTTTCTTTGGCACTTGCTGTGACTGCGCTATTGAGCCAAGAGAGCCCATGTTCTCCAGCACAAACTCTGCTGCTTCAGAGGATTTAGAGAAAAGCTTCAAGACTTTAGAGGGCTGGGACACCTGCGTTTTGAAGCTATTGACACTGTGAACCGGAGAGCCTTGAAAAGAAGAAAACAAGTTAATGATATTCCTTAGAAAGCACTGTGCACTTTAAGGAGCACCAACATAACATAACGCTTGTCACATGCAGAGCTTTGTCTAGTTTTATTTAGTGTCTAGGACTCTGCTGCAGTGCTTACCTTCAGGTGTGACCTCAGTTGATTTGGTGAAGTTGGGTGTGGTTCGTTTGAAGACCTTTGATCTTTCTCCCCCAACTACCACATGAGCTCCAAGTAAAGGGACCAGAATCGCTAGGCTCTGCAGGGTCATCGCGACCAGACAGTCATTTGTGTCTCTCATACCAAGCAAAACCTTCAGAGAGAAGGGGGAGACACTTAGGGCTTGCAAAATAAAAGGCATGGTTACAAGGACTCTATGTACTGATTTTAAACAAAATATCTATCAGCTGTTACTATCCATGGGACATATGTGTAATTCTAGAGAATGTTAAAAGAACTTCAGGTTTCTTTTGTAAAACTAACACTATAATTGGCAAACTACTTTTGTCTCCAAAAAGTACAAAAGACGTTTACTGAGAAAACCACATAATACTGGTCTCTCACTCAATGATTATTACACTATGCCATTGAAACCTACAGTCTACATTCAAAAAGTGAAATGCACCGGGACTTCAAAAACAGACCTGAGGTAGTATTTGATTCTTCAGTTCTTCATGTGAGAAGAGCTCTGCATAGACATCAATGTGGGACAGCAATACCATCCTGACATGCTCCTCATTAACTTTAAACAACTTCAGCAGCTGAGGAATTACATATTTACGATACAGAGACACCGAGAGGAGACATTCCTGACTGTTTTCACTGGAATCTGTTAACACAAACACATTTAAAGCATGAGACCTTCGCATATGACACACACTGCTCTTGATACAAATACAGTATAAAGCATGGCTCTAAAATGCTTCTGTCGCTGGCATTGACTATCAAAACCAACAAATCAAAACAGTTTTTTATAAATGAACTGCTCATAGTTTTGCACAAATACATTTTTTGGGCTGATATGTTTATCTGAAACAACTTACAATTTACAGCTTTTACTGGAATTTTCAGTAAAAAGACATAGTTCAAGCTCTCCAAAAGGATTTTAACCTAGAACCTTCCAGTTATGCTTCCACAGCTCTAATCACTATTCCACGCTGCTGTCGAAACCCTTGTCCAACCCACCAACCTCCAGTCACAAATTACAAACCCATTGAAGACCTTCAGAAGATTCCTTCTGGGCACAATGTCGAAGCCTTGAGGAAGCAAAATGCTACCATCAAGGATTAGCCAGCAGGCTGAAGTTTGATTTAATTTGAGTCTCAGAGAACATTGTCAATATTGCTAACAAGGTGTGTTTACTGTATAAAAGCTATTACCCTTCTTTGGCATGAGCAAATGGGGTAGAAAACTTTTAACGGCTGTAGGTTCTGCAAACACCAGTGAGTTTAGAAGTTTCGGGATGAGGCGTGAAGCAATCAGCTCTTCAGGAAGATTCTGAACTCTGTCCAGGAGAAACCTGCAAGAGAAAACCATGACTCTTTCAATTGAAAATCTGCACAATGTTTGTTGAAACAAATTCAAGTATCTTAAAAAAAGCTTTTTTTTTAACAAAAGCCAAGATCACTCTTGCCAACAGGTGCAGTCTTCCATTTTATTTTTGATCCTGACAACTATTAAGAAATATATTCTGGGTATACCACACTGGATATAACATTTAACTAGTCTTATTGCTCACTTACTTAAAAAATTCGTTCTTCTCCTCTTCTGTTTTTAGAGTCAAACTCTTCAGAAAATTCACCACCTCAAGGAAGTCATTCCTGTAAAGCACATGAGACATCATAATACTACAAAGGATTTATACCAGTAATGAATAACCAAAACATTTAAGGGATATCTTGAATTTCTCAGCAGCTCTAAATCTCCAGTGCTAATTGATGAATTCATTGATCTACTTGCTTGTTTTTTTCTTTAAGTCCTAAGTGTTAAGAATACCCTACTTTAAGGGGAGTGTCTCCAGCAACTTCTGCATACAGAATTTAATGCAGCCTCTTCTCAGCTTTTCAACTTGCTTGACATTATTTCTGACTAAACAGATCGAACTAGTTGATTGATTGACGATGACCTGACACAGGTAGGAATAATAATGTATGAGACACACCCACAATGTGAATTTTTCCTTCTGCAACATTCCTGAATGAGAGCAGGGTTGACACTAATTACAAATCCCATTTGATATTCTAAAATGTATACATTTGCTTTCAACTCTTAAAGGGGAACTGCAACACTATTTATTTATTTTAGGGTTAGAAAGAATCAGCACTGATGAGTGCATTTGAAACTATGATAAAAGTAAAATGTAAAAAGTAACTTGTAAAACCTCCAATTTACATAACAAAATATGTTACATTTCAGTTATTTAGAACCAGGCAACAAAACTTTCAATGACGTGTAGCAGTTACATTGTAAAGAAGCAGGCTTCTCTTTTAATCCAATAGAAATATTGCTCTCAATTTTGATTTACTTTTGCCAACAAATACTACTTTATGCAAATCATTATGGAACATTTCTGTGGTGAATTGTCTACTGGACAACCTGTACTTCGCTCATACATCACATTAGTCATTACAGTGACTAGTGAGCAGGAAGGGCTGCATCACATCGCAATTCGTGGGAACTCTCACTCTCACCTTTGGCAAGACCAGGGGTTTGAGACAACATGTCGACTTTAACAACATAACAACATTATTGGCCCTATACAATTTCTTGCATTAGGATTTACAGTACTTTCATAAAGTTCACAATTTTGTGCTTAATTTGAAATTTGTTAAGTTTTCCAATACTATCAACGAATTCATTTTGTTACCAAGATTTAGTAATCAGACTGAGAAATTAGGACTGCAGCTCTCCTTTAAACAGAACTCAGTCAGTCTGTGATTAAGAACTCAACTGCAGCAAAAACCAAGAAGTCAAAGTGTTCCTGTAGGATCAGGGTTCCACTGCTTTAAAATACCAGTGCTAATTGATGCCTTTAATTGATCTCCTTGGCTGACTTCATGAATACCTGTTTTTACACTGTCCTTGGATTTCAGAATAAGTGACCTTTAGTGTACTGTTTCCAACATGTTTAGGACCGAGCAGCTCTTAATAGGGTGACCAATTTATTAATTAACACCCAGTTGAGAATGACACTGTAAGAAACAGTCCTAAATAGTGTGCTTTTTTCCCATAAAAATTCAACTGTTTACATTTCAGGTAACAACTGAATGACGGGAATTCTAAAGCTGGGAAGTTGGTAGACAATCAGAAATTTAAATATGTTTCAGAAAAATTAAACCGATTAGCCTGCAAATAACAATCTGGCTGGAACAAAACCCAGATGGGACAGTGGTACCCAGGATCTGAGAGGGGAACCACTTGTATACATCAAAAAAAGATTAAGCTTTTCAAAGAGTTAATTGACAGATGCTTCTTTACCACTAAACAGGCAACATCAACATACCTGAAAAAATCATGTTTGAGGAGGCTGCTGAGAGCAGGCCGAGCTGAAGGATCAGGGTTCAGCAGGCTTCTCTGTAATGTATTTCGGAAACTGTCCAACAGCTCTTTGGAAGCTGAAATCAGGTAATCAGTTTTTGCAAGTTCAAGCAAGAACAAAAAAATCACTTTGATTCTAGTGAAATTGCAGCAGTTCTTCCATTTTTTGTAATCTGCTATAATTCCTCTTCATTCGTGGATCACTTTCATAATGAAACACTAAATATTTTTAGCACAAACTTCACTGCACATAGAATGAGAAGAGAGCTACTTGGCTGTACACTGCAAAGTGTGAAGTTATAAAATACTTTTTTGATAAATATCAAAAATACATGAATGATCTCATTGCACATCCAGCAGCCATATCACCCTGCAACTAACAACTGGCAGCCCACTGAAGCTCTGCAGGTGTGAGCCTGGTCACTACCTGGATTGGAGACCTGGGAAAAACTAAGGGTGCTGTTGGAAGAGGTGTTAGTGGGGCCAGCAGGGGGCGCACACCATGTGGTCTGTGTGTGTCCTAATGCCCCAGTATAGTGACGGGGACACTATACTGTTAAAAAGGCACTGTCCTTCGGGTGAGATGTAAAACCGAGGTCCTGACTCTCTGTGGTCATTAAAAATCCCAGGGCGTTTTTCGAAAAAGAGAGGGGTGTAACCCTGGTGTCCTGGCCAAATTTCCCATTCGCCCTTACCAATCATGGCCTCCTAATAATCCCCATCTATGAATTGGCTTCATTTCTCAGTTCTCCTCCCCACTGATAGCTGGTGTGTGGTGAGCGTACTGGAGCTCTATGGCTGCTGTCGCATCTTCCAGGTGGGGCTGCGCATTGGTGGTGGTGGAGGGGTGTCCCCATTACCTGTAAAGTGCTTTGAGTGGAGTGTCCAGAAAATACATCAAAAGTGTAAGCAATTATTAATTATTATCCCTTTGTTAGTGTGTGAGTAGTGGTTTGACAGTGCTGTTCCAAGTCTTATAGTCACTCAGCCAAATTGATGTGATAAAAGGTAGCAACAAAAGGACTCACCATAGTCATTTAGGAGTGGGATTAAGTTCTCCACCATCAATCCGAATGAAAAGGCATCTCTGGCATGTCCGTGTTTATCAAGCAGCATTTTAAAGCCTTCAACCTGGAAGAGAAAAGAACCCATTCATAAGAACCCATTCCATCCAGAGTGCGGCAGAAATGGACGTAACCATTTGCCTACCAAAGGAGAAAGGTACGCAATAAATAATACAGTTTAGAAACAAATGCAAACTGTGTAGAGGAGCAGACAGCAACCTTTTAGACAGATCCTTAATTACCTTTTCTTCAGGTGGAACCACCCTCTGTTCTCTCACAGACCCAATGCTGCTAAGAAACTGTAAAAACAAAGATGTGTTATTAAGATCTGTACATACTCTAGCCTGTCACATTTCAAAAGCTTGCAGAAACCATTATTACAGTGGTGTGAAAAAGTGTTTGCCCCCTTCCTGATTTCTT